TTTTAGTCACCTAGCCTTAGATTCACCAGCGAGCCGAAGGTCCTGGCAGCCAGTGCTCCTTTTTTTCGTGTAAATAAAATAAATGTATTATTTTTTTTTTCACATTTCTAAATAAATAAATAAATAAGAAATATATAGGCTTTTTATCACAATAATATTAAACACAGATAACGAACACTGGATTATATCTAAGCTAGCACTGTCATCACAAAATCGTTCCATAAAGAGTCAATCAAATAGATCGTTAATGATTCGGCAACGTATTTGGATATGCTCCATGGTAAAAATCACAAATCTATATACATATATAAAATTAAGTGACAAAACTTCCTGTTCGCATACTCCTCCTAGACGGCTTGCCCGATGTCAATGAAATTTTCAGGGGTGATTGGGGTCTATTTGGAGGGTGCACATCAGAAATTTAATGTGTGTATCATTGCACGTTTTGCAAAAAAAAAAACATAAAAAAAAAGTTACATCCCGCCTTTACAAATTCTCATGAAATAATGTTTTGCCGCAAGACTGCCAGTCCTGTCAAATGCCTTTTACTAATAAACAGAAACCACTGGCGGATGTTTACGAACGCAAGGGGTGCGTGTTGACGGTTATCCAAATGTCCGTAAAACCGATGCCATAGGACGCATTTACACCATCCATCCGAACAACGCCGAATGTTTCTATTCGCGTCTGTTATTAGTCAACGTGCGCGGACCAAGATCATTTGATGATTTGAAAACTGTTGACGGTCAGTTGCGTGCGACGTATCGTGAAGCATTTCAGCGATTGCATTTGTTAGAAGATGATATGCAGTGGGACACCGCACTTCATGACGCATCATTCACATCTCATCAAAAACAAATACGCGTACTATTCGCCATAATAATATCTACATGCTTCCGTCAAATTGCAATGAATTGCGTGCTTTCATACAAGCTAACATTACCAAATTGAATATTCAGCAGAAAAATGCTTATGATAAGATTATACGAGCGGTTTACAATAGCGCCGGTGGATTCTTTCTGGATGCGCCCGGTGGTACAGGGAAAACGTTTCTGATCTCTTTGATTCTTGCTACTACACGGTCACAGCAGCAAATTGTGCTGGCAATTGCTTCGTCAGGCATCGCTGCTACTCTACTTGATGGCGGCTGAACAGCACCTTCTGCGTTGAAACACCAACGTGCAACATATCGAGGAATTCAGCAATGGCAAAAGTTTTTCGAGGAGCTGGAATAGTTCTATGAGATGAGTGCCCAATGGCTAACCAAATGTCATTAGAAGCATTCAATAGAACACCACAAGATTTACGCCAAGAGCAACAACTTTTTGGCGGAGCATTAGTCTTATTATCCGGCGATTTTCGGCAAACTTTGCCAGTCATTCCTCGATCACCTCCTGCCTACGAAATAAACGCACGTCTAAAATCGTCAGTTTTGTGGAGACATGTTCAAAGGCTAACTCTTACCATAAACATGCGAGTCGAATTGCAAAATGATCGATCCGCAGCGGAGTTTTCGAAGCAGTTGTTGGACATTGGCGAAGGCAAAATACCAATCGATTATACCGGTTTGATCACATTGCCGAACAACTTTTGTACACTTTTACAATCGAAAGAAGAATTGATTGAAAGTGTATTTCCGAATATTGTTCAACACTATCAACGCCACGATTATTTAAGTGAACGCACAATATTGGCACCGAAAAATGTACACGTCAACGAAATCAATTTTGCCATT